ATTTTTGGGGTGATAGTTTTCAAGGGGCTACTTTCAAACTTAATTTCTGATAGTTTCCTTAATTGTTACTTAATTACAATATAATTCATTAGAATAGTTACTTTTTTATTCAAAACTTCTGACATGTTCCCATAAGGGTAAAATATATTTGGACAGATAGTTTTCAGGTGGGATAACTTTTTCACTCTTCTGATATCTTCGTAATTGTTACTTAATTAGAATAGTTGCTATTTTGCCCCTAAGTTCTGATATGTTTCTGATTGTTACTGAATTAGAATAGCTACTGTTTCACTCCTAAATTCTGCCTTTTTCCTGTAAGGTTGAAATGTATTTGGGTCCCATAATTTTAGGAGGGGATATTTTTGCAATGGAATTGTGAGTATTAGATGGAATAATAAATACAGAATGTTTCTATGTTCTCTTCTTGCCCGGTTGAGAATTACAAAATGCTGGTGGGAGGGTGAATTCTGGGTGTGTCCCTAATTTGATGAATTTATGAAGGTTTATTGGAAGATTGAAGGAGATGATTCTGGCTGCTGTTTGGTTTCTACCAGTCATCCAGCTGCGATAACCCAACTCGATGCTGTTTCGCTTTCCCCCCCAAAATCTGGGGTAGAAGAACTTTGGTGCATAAAGTCATGGACTTAAAGGGAAAATGAAATCCCTGTGACTAAATACAGTAATTAATATTAATTTATATTTGTGACAAAGGAATTTGCCACTGTCGAAGTGATTTCTGATGTACATATGTTGTTTATAAAGTATGTATTAAATTTTTTCTATGGTTAAGCTCCTGTACTTTGGATTGTTGTACATTAAAAGTTGAGTTTTTCAGAAATTGGAATTTTCATCTCCCCCCCCCCCCAATAGTTGTCCCTGAGGTTATTTAACTTGACGGTTTTCTTGTTTTGAAAATATAGAAGACTTTTATTACTTCAGCTTAAAAGCCTGATTCTAGATAATGAAGACAAAATCTTCCTCAGTCATTTGTTCTTCTTTTTCACCTCCTTTTTTCATATTGCTTGACATTTTCTGCATTTATTTTTTCTTTTTGATCCCTTGTCTGAAAAGTATCCCAGTACTTTGAAAAAGATCTCAATGCAGGAGTTTGAAATTAGGCCAAACATTATATTTGACCTAATTCTTTCCCATCACAAATCTGTTCTAGCTGAAAGCTGATGACACATTTTTTTAAAAAAATATTGATCTTTGTTTTTCTGAAGTTGATAATTATTTTGGCAGCAAGATGAGCTGACTTTTACAGTGAACTAGCCAATTCAACAAGCACAGCGTATGTGATCCAGTTCATGCCATTTTTTTCATCCTAAAGATTGCATCAACAGAAATTCAGGACTGCGTTATTGGGAAGAAAAAAATTATTTCCTTTTTTTTAAATCAATAAATAATTTACAATATTTACATCACAACACCCCATACAATTTCCACACACATGCAATAAGCTGGAAAGGGAGGCAGTGTGTTTGTTATACGCTTTCCCTGTCTTTATTCAGATTTTCATTCAGAGCCTCTTGGGTCTTCATAGGCTGAATTCACTCAGAAGCCAAAATTTGAAGATAATAGAAAATAAAGTGCTTTGTTAATAATTAGAGGTTTAAGAAACAATATATGGAAAATGGTTTTAGAGCTCACCATAATCAAAGAAATAAATTGAAGAGAATAAAAGATGAAAGTTGATTAAGAAAAACCTCCCAATTTGTTACATTTTACTGTTTTCAAGAATTTTGATTTATAAAATGCTAAAATAAAATGCCATTTTGATAGTGACCAGATAATTTGGATTAAAGTCCCCCTCCTCTTGTCGTGACATCATTGGTTGGGGGGTTATAGGAGTTGTAGTTAGCATGGGTTGTGAGGTAAACCATTTTTGAGGAAAATTTCATGTGAAGGGCGAGTTCTCATCTTCATTGCAAACATGGTGATAACTCAGATTTCCATTGCTGAACTGTATATAAATTCAGCCAAAGATTTCCATGTATGGTTTATCCAGTTCTGTAATCGCTACTTGGGCAAAAACATATTTTAAAAAAATGCGTTTCTTCTGTCACAGCTTGGAAGAAGCTACAGGAGATAATGGATGGAAATTTGGGGGGGGGGGAATGTCTTTTTTCAATACAATGGCACTGAAAAAAAGTGATTTACGATAGTTTTTCACACAACCTTTGAAGCATCCCCATGATCATGGGATCAAAGTTCAGATGCTTGGCAACTGATTCATACTTAGGACTGTTGCGGTCATGTGATCATCTTTTGCGACCTTTTGACTAGCAAAGTCGATGGGGAAGCCAGGTTCACTTAACAACCAGGTTACTAACTTATCAACTGGAATGATTCACTTAACAACTGTGGCAAGAAAGGTCATAGAATGGGGCAAACAAATGCCTCCCTTAGCAATAGAAATGTTGGGCTCCATTGTGGTTGTAGGTCGAGGACTACCTGTACTGTGGGATGAACCATGAACATGACTTGGTAGACATTCTGACCTACCATTTTAGCAAAATTTCAGCACGGTTTGTTCATGGTACTTTTGAGCTAAATGTGGGCAGAGAGAGACCTCCATCTTGACTTCCTAGGCATCTGAAAATGTGGGAAGAGAGCACCCTGTCTGCCCTACAACCCCCTCTAAGTGACCCCAATTCGGTTTTCTCAAAATGACACAAAACGATGGAGAAGACAATTATGCCCACTGATGAACCAATCATGAAGAGAAATAATAAAAAACAATTATTTAAATATTTTAGGAAGCAAGCAGGGCAATCCCATCTCTTTGCTCACTTGGCAAAATGACCATCTGTAAGATTTAGTATGTGTTCAACTTATTACACACTCAAAAAAGATAAAATATGAGCTGGCAGATGATCAGACAGATGTTCATGCTTGGTAGACATGACTTGGTAGACATTCTGACCTACCACTTTAGCAAAATCTCAGAGCTGTTTGCTGATGGTATTTTTGAGCTAAATATGGGCAGAGAGAGACATCCATCTCAACTTCCTTGATCTGAAAATGTGAGAAGAGACAAGCAAATATCTGCACCCAGTGGCTACACCATTGTATCTGTTTGCTGAGTGGGTACTACCCACGGTGAAACCGGAATGAAAAGGGCAGAGATAGACAATGAAAATTGAGCCAATGAACTTGGATTGTTTTTGGTACAAACAAGTGATTGATTTCTCTGAGAAGTTCTAGCTTGGTGGTCTTTGGAGCCAACCAAGGAGTAAGAGGAAAAGACAATAGGTAGCTAATCAATAAATAAAAATGGCAAAATGGCAAAATGACCATGTGTACGACTTAGTATGTGTTCAACACTCAAAAAAGATAAAATATGAGCTGGCAGATGATAAGACAGATGTTCATGCTTGAAGCATACAAAAACATGGCTTTGTGTATATCTGGATGTCCTTCTGGTGTTGTGATGGTCAGATAGGGCTCACAACTTAGGAACAGACTGAGCTCACTCTCAAAGGTTTCTCTAAAACTTGCATGTTGTCAATATACACAGCAAACACACCCACACAATCTGTCCCCTTCCCAAGAAAGGGGATACACCTGCCACCATGGTGTATTCAAAATAGAAAGGGATCAAGATAAGTTTTAGGATGGGAGGCTTCTCATCTGGCACCTGGACCTAAACCCAACATGATGTTTCAAAGGTTCCTTAGCTCAGGTGTTGTACATAGAAAAACATGGACCTAAAGAAGGTGCATCTTGTAAAACGGTATTTCCAGAATACTGAGGCAGTCCTTCCATCTCTGCCTTCATTCCTCAAATAAAACAACGGCATTGTTTATGAGGCCTATCCATCTTCTGGAAAATGCACAGCCCAATTTTTTTTGCATAAATTGCTGGTCAATTTGGAGTGAGCTTCCTGACGATAATTGATTTATGACTTATGAGCCATCACTTGTTGTTTGTATGTAATACGAGTTTATGCACCGGAGACAAATTCCTTCTGTGTTCAATCACACTTGGCCAATAAAGAATTCTGTTTTATAATATAAGGCCCGAATGGTACAGTAATGCCACCAACTCAACAGGAAGCCTTCTCAGCAGGGCGACTGACCGAAACTGCTCATCATGTCCACTGCAGAAGCAGGAAGGGACAAGTCATTGGGGAAGAAGGTGCAACTGCGGTCTGAAAACTGACACCCGTGAAAAAGATGTCTGAACTCTCCTATGGATTGGCTTGATTTGTTTTCCAAAATGAAAGACTTCAGGATGACGTCAACCAGAAGATTTGCACCTAGAGGTGGCATGGACTGGAGTAATACTGGCTTAGTTCCCTAGCTTATTTTTCTAAGTACCAGAACAGGAGTGGACATCCTGCCTTTATCACTTTTATAATTAGCTCCAGGCAGTGAACATACTTAATACTCCTCCTCTTTTCCCACAACAACACTGTGAGGTTGGTTGGGCTGAGGAGGAGTGACTGGGCCCAAATCATCCAACTGGCTGTCATGCCTAAGATGGGTCTAGAAATCCAGTCTGCTGGTTTCTAGGGCAACATCTGAAGCATCGACCAGATTGGCTGTCTGCCATGTCAGTTGACTCTAACCTCACTGAGCAATGGGATTTAGAACTTGGAACCCGGCGATGAAGGCAGTTAGGGGAGGGGGCTTCCTATTGGTCCGCTTGAGTAGCCCCTACCAGTTGAGTTTCAGTTATTAGTAAGGATTGTAGGAACTGAGCAGTTTGAATTTGGCCAAATTCTGGAGCAGGCATACTTTATGTGTGGCTGTCCATCAGTTGGCCCAGTTCAGGATTTCAGGTTTTCAGATCCTGCCTTTCTGTATTGGTTATTCCAGTTATTTGTTTCATTGTTTTTTTTAAATAGTAGGCAGTTAAATAATATAGTTAGAGGGAATTTGGGGTTGGGTGGTGATGGTGGTGGGGTGGGGTGGGTAGTTAGATATTAGGAAGTTTTAAAAAAAACAAAACAACAACAACAACAAAAACAACAAAAACCAAAAAAAACCAAAAAAAAAAAGATATTTGGAAGTTGATCTAAAGAAGCTGCCTTGGTAGACACAGCTGACAACGAGATATCTACTTCCCCAAAGGTAAATAATCCTGATAGGATAACTTCTACTTTTCTCGTAAGGTATTAGAAGCCAGAAGCTTTCGGTTTGCAGCATGTTGGTCCTTGATACCTGTTCCTTCCTGGTCCGTTTGAAAGGTCAGGTGAGCCATTGAACTAGGAACAGATCCAAGAAAGATTTCTGCACCTCCTCTTGGCTGCACCAGGGATAAAAAGCTACCTTAATTCTCCTTGGGGTGTCATTTGAAATTGGGAGAGAGTCAACTCAGTCCAGTCCATTTCCGTATCAGAACTTTAGAAGGACAAGATTAAATATTTCATATTGGTGTGTGTCTGATTGCTTCTAGGAAATGGACACCGAGGAAATCTTACGCCTGGCTGAGGCACAAGGCAATGAAACATCCACAAGTGCAACTGATGATCTGTTTTCACAGTTTGAGGTACACAATCTTGGTACATACACACACACACACACACACAGACACACAGAGAGCAGGGTAATAAGCAACAACTTGAATTGCACCCCAGAAAGACAATGAAACTAGTGCAACATTGGTATAGCACAAGTGAACCACAGGTTGTCCAAAGCTGTGGATGCTGCTGCTTTCTGGATCATTTGACGTTTCTGCTTGCCTTCAAGGGCAGCCCACTGGGGAGCGCATTGCAGTAGTCCAAACGGGAAGCAACTAGGACTTGAGTGACCATGAAGGGGGCCTCCCTGTCCATGAACAGGCACAATTAATACATAAATCGAATCCATGCAAAGGCCCAATTGTCACACCTGCCCGCTTCTGCTTCCTGGGAAGAAGCTACCGGTGCAGGAGGACAAGTGGTGCATCCTCTCTGTCTATGAGAAAACTTCCCCATTGAGGTATAAAGATGGACACTCTCCAGAGCCCCAGAAATACTGCAGGGGGGTGGGTGACTCGATACAGGAAAGGGTTTGAACAAGTAAAAATAGGGCCCACCAAATTGACCAGCAAGGAGGGTTTTCTGATCCTCTGTTCCCTTGTGGGCTGTTCTTCTCACCTAGGACAAGGCCAAAAGTGTGAAGCCCCAAATCCAGGAAGAAAACAAAACCCCCAAAATCAAGGAGGAGCCAAGAAATGAAGCCTCTTCTCTGCAGCCCTCCAGAGAACCAGTCAGTAGAAGGACAGAAGAAGGTAAGCACGAATACTGAGGTACCGGCAGTGTTGAAATCCATTTTTTTTTTACTACCGGTTCTGTGGGTGTGGCTTGGTGGGCATGGCAGGGGAGGGATATTGCAAAATCTCCATTCCCACCCCACTCCAGGGAGAAGGATAGTGCAAAATCTCCATTCCCTTCCCACTCCAAGGGGAAGGATAGTGCAAAATCCCTCCATTCTCACCCCACTCCAGGGGGAAGGATACTGCAAAATCCCCATTCCCTCCCCCCACTCCAAGGGGAAGGATATTGCAAAATCTCCATTCCCTCCCCACTTCAAGGGGAAGGATACTGCCAAATCTCCATTCTCACCAGTTGCTGTAGTCATATGCAATAAAAACAGTTCTTTTTAGAGTTGTAAACAGGAACAAGTACAGCAGTAAAACAATCAGTAAAACAGTAGAAAACAACCAGTAGCAATGATCAAGCAGGGATCATGCAGAGAGAACAGGCAAAGAGGAGCAGAGGTAGCAATAATAATATAAAAAGAACAATAAGCCACGATTCAAGCTTCCTCTTAAGTACATTGGCTACAGAGCTAGCCAATCAGAATACAGTATGATGCAATACAGCATTACAGTCTTAAAGTTATACAATACATTTTGACTGCAAACATGCATTGATGGTTTATATATATTGGCAACCCAACCAGTTAGGCAATAGCCATTTCCTAACAACTCATTTAAGAACTGCAGCGATTCACTTAACAAACTCAGCGACAAGAAAAGTCGCACAATGGGGCAAAATTCACTTAAGAAATTCCTCACATAAATTTTGGGCTCGATTGTGGCCATCAGTAGAGGAGTACTTGTACTCTACTCCTCGGCTTATAACCATTCATTTAGCAACCGTTTTGAGGTTACAACAGCAACAGGAAAAAAAGTGACTTAACATCCTTGCGCTTATGGATGTGCGAGCATCCCCAAGTTCACAGGATCAGCATTTTGGTGCTTAGCAACCAGCAGCATCCCAGGGATGCAGGAGAGCCATTTGCCTCTCCACCTGGCTTCCAACCAGGGAAGTCAGTGAGGGAAGCCAGATTCGCTTATTGATTTTGCATGATTCACTTAACAACTTCAGTGATTCTGCTTACCAGCCTGGTCCAAAAAAAAAAAGGCCATTAAATCAGGTGTGATTCATTTAACAGCTGCCTTGCTTGGCATCAGAAATGTCTGGTCCCCATTATAGTTGTAAGTCGAGGGCTGCCTGAATATATCCCCCCACCCCTTATTAAGAGTAAGGTCCTCTTACGCATCCAAATTTTTTGCTCCCCCCAAGGAGGATGGGTATACCCTGAAAATGAAGGAGAAGAAAGAAAACAAGGATAAGCAGCCAGGCCAAAGCCCTAGAAAAAAGGTTAAGAAGTCAGACAAAAGTCCAGAAATCAAAGCTCAGCGCTTACCCGAAATCCAAGAAGGCAAAGCTCAGCCCTCAGCCAAAATCCAGGAAAGCAAAGCTGAACAGTTAATCAAAGGGCCAGAAAGCAAAGCTCAGCATTTAGCCAAAATCAAAGAAATCAAAGCTCAGCAGTTAACCAAAATCCAGGAGAGCAAAGCTAAGCAGCCAGGCAAAATCCAAGAAAGCAAAGCTGAGAAGTTAACCAAAAGCCCAGAAATCAAACCTAAGACCTTAGCTAAAATCCAAGAAAGCAAAATTCAACAGTTAACCAAAATTGAAGAAAGCAAAGCTAAGCAACCAGTCAAAATCCAAGAAAACAAACCTCAGCAGTTTACCAAAATCCTACAAATCAAAATTCATCCCTTAACCAAAATCCAAGAAGGCAAAGCTCAGCAGTTAACCAAAAGTCCAGAAATCAAAGCTCAGCAATTAACCCAAATCCCGGAAATCAAAGTTCAACAGTTAACCAAAATGCAAGAGGCAAGAAGAGCAAGCAGCCAGTCAAAATCCAAAAAAGCAAAACTCAACAGTCACCAACCAAAAAGCAAAGCAAGTCAAAATCCAAGCAAAGCAAAGCTAAGCCAGCCAAAATCCAAGAAAGCAAAACTGAAAAATTAAACCAAAACCAGAAATCAAACCTCAGACCTAGCTAAAATCCAAGAAGGCAAAACTAAGCAGCCAGTCAAAATCCAAGAAAGCAAAGCTCAACAGTTAACCAAAATCCAAGAAGGCAAAGCTAAGCAGCCAGTCAAAATCCAAGAAAGCAAAGCTCAACAGCCAAAATCCAAGAAGAAAAAGCAAAGTAGCAAAGTTACAGCAGCCAGTCAAATCCAAGAAAGCAAAGCTGAGATGTTAACCAAAGCCAAGAAATTAAACCTCAGACCTTAGCTAAAATCAAGAAAGCAAAGCTAAGCAGCAAGTCAAAATCCAAGAAAGCAAAACTGAAAAGTTAACCAAAAGCCCAGAAATCAAACCTCAGACCTTAGCTAAAATCCAAGAAGGCAAAGCTAAGCAGCCAGTCAAAATACAAGAAAGCGAAGTTGAGAGGTTAAGCCAGAAAAAGCCCAGAGAAAATCCCAGCAAAGCTAAACAAAATCCAAGAAGCAAAGCTAAACAGCCAGTCAAATCACCACTAGCCAAATCCAAGCAAGCAGCTGAGATGTTAACCAAAAGCCCAGAAATCAAACCTCAGACCTTGGCTAAAATCCAAGAAGGCAAAGCTAAGCAGCCAGTCAAAATCCAAGAAAGCAAAGCTCAGCAATTAACAAAATCCAAGAAGTCAAAATAAGCCCCAACCAAAATCCAAGAAAGCAAAGCTCAACAGTTAACCAAAATCCCGGAAAGCAAAGCTCAGCAGTTAACCCAAATCCAAGAAAGCAAAGCTCAACAGTTAACCCAAATCCCGAAAGCAACGTTCAACAGTTAACCAAAATCCAAGAAAGCAAAGCTCAGCAGTTAACCAAAATCCAAGAAGGCAAAGCTCAACAGTTAACCAAAATCCAAGAAAGCAAAGCTCAGCAGTTAACCAAAATCCAAGAAGCAAAGCTAAGCAGCCAGTCACGATCCAAGAAAACAAAGCTAAGCAGTTAACCAAAATCCAGGAAATCAAAGCTCAACAGTTAACCAAAATCCAAGAAGGCAAAGGAAAGCAGCCAGTCAAAATCCAAGAAAGCAAAATTCAGCAGTTAACCAAAAGCCCAGAAATCAAAGCTCAGCGCTTAGCCAAAATCCTAGAAATCAAAGCTCAGCGCTTAGCCAAAATCCAGGAAAGCAAAGCTCAGTGCTTAACCCAAAGCCAAGAAAAGAAGGCTAAGCAGCCAGTCAAAATACAAGAAAGCGAAGCTCAGCAGCTAACCAAAAGTCCAGAAATTAAAGCTCAACAGTTAACCAAAATCCAAGAAGGCAAAGCTCAAGAGTTAACCAAAATCCATGAAAGCAAAGCTCAGCAGTTAAACATAATCCAGGAAATTAAAGCTCAACAGTTAACCAAAATCCAAGATCTCAAAGCTCAGCAGCCAGTCAAAAATCCAAGAAAGCAAAATTCAGCAGTTAACCAAAAGTCCAGAAGTCAAAGCTCAGCGCTTAGCCAAAATCCTAGAAATCAAAGCTCAGCGCTTAGCCAAAATCCAAGAAAGCAAAGCTCAGTGCTTAACCCAAAGCCAAGAAAAGAAGGCTAAGCAGCCAGTCAAAATTCAAGAAAGCAAAGCTCAGCAGTTAACCAAAAGTCCAGAAAACAAAGCTCAGAGCATAGCCAAAATCCAAGAACTCAAAGCTCAGCAGTTAGCCCAAAACCGGAAAAAGGCTAAACAGTTAGCCCAAAACCAGAAAAAGGCTAAACAGTTAGCCCAAAGCCACAAAAACAAGGATAAGCAGTTAGTCCAAAGCCACAAAAACAAAGCTGAACAGTTAAGCAAAAGCCGAGAAATTGAAACTCAGCGCTCAGCCAAAATCCAAGAAATCAAAGCTCAACCCAACACCAGCAGCCAGCCAAAAACCAGGAACAGGAAGAAAAACAGGATGAAATGGAACAGGTAGCTACTGGTGTTAACCTGTCTTGGTGGCCATGCCATTGCTGATTTTAACCAAGGTTCACATATGTGTGTTGGTAACTTGGCTGTGTGGTTATGTGAATAATTTAACCTTGGTTAAAATCAACTTCATATTATGGGTAGAACTTCCTTTTTATCTTCATTCTTTAGGCCTTTGGGCCAGGGTGAATGCTTTGGCTGTCCTTGTTAGAACTGAGAAGCTAAGCAGGATTGAATAGGGATAACCGGGTGGAAGAGTATCAGGAACTCCCCAGATTGTGGTTTTTGGCTGAGAAATCTAAGAAACATCTCAGAAGAAGACAAACCAAATCATAGTCAATTGTGAGACTTTGTAACTACCTGGCTTGCCCACAATTTGCAATTGGCTATCATTGAGCATGTATTGAATGATGCTGTATCTGGCTTCCTAGGCTCTTAAAATTATTCAGTTCTCCCGAACAGTGTCTCAAATACTTTGTTAGAACTGGGAAGCTAAGCAGGATTGGATAGGGATAACTGGGTGAAAGAGCACAGCAAGAACTCCTCAGATTGTGGCTCAGTGGTTAAAGACGCTGGGTTTGTCAGCTGGATGGCTGACAGCCTGGGTTCGAGACCCGAGTTCCCCATAATGGGTGAGCTCCCGTTACTTGCCTCAGTTCCTCTGCCCACCTAGCAGTTAAAAGCATGCAAATGTGAGTAGATGAAGAACTACCACTTGGTGGGAAGGTAACAGCCTTCCATGTGCCTTTGGCGTATGTTTCCATGCTGGCCACATGACCACGAAAATTGTTTTCGGACAATGCTGCCTCTCTTGGCCAAAAAGGTGTTAGTTATCACCTAAAGCGCTCCATGGCTTAGGACCTGGTACCTATGAGACCGTCTTTGCCACCAATAGCCCCCACCGACCAGTTTGTTCTCACAGGGAGGGACTAAATCAGGGTACCGTAGTTAATTATGCATGGCGACTCCCAGGGGGAGGGCCTTCTCTGTGGGGCTCCAACCCTTTGAATGAACTGCCCCCCGAGATACGAAATATCCCTGATCTCCGTGCTTTCCGCCGTGCCTCAAGACCCTGATGTTCCAACAGGCGGGGCTAAACATACAACATGTGAATGATTTTAAAATGTTATCTAATTTTAGGTTCTATTTAGTTGGGTCAAACTATGTTATAATAATAATTTAATTAGCAATTTCTGATGCTTGTGTATCTATATTTTCTTGACTGTACACCGCCTTGAGTCCTACGGGAGAAAGGCGGTATAGAAATATAATTAATCAATAAATAAATAAATAAATAAATAAATAAATAAATAAATAAATAAGGGATGAGCAGATGAGCACCATCCCCTAGAGTCGGCCATGACTGGACAGAGTAAATCTTTACCTTACTTATTATCATAAAGATGGAGAGCCTGTTTGAAGGGCAAAGGAATCACTGGAAATTCCAGGTAGCAGAATGCAAGTTTCTCACCATTTTTTTTTTTGGGTGGTTGGGTGTCTTCCATTTCCTTATTGGCACATCTGGACTTTCCATCCTGTTTTCATGAGAGATGCTATGTCCTCTTCTCTTTTCACAGAACAAAGACCCCGAGGCAAACAGGTCCCACTGAAGAAGTGGAAAAGGATGAATTAGACAAGGCAACCTTCGATATTGTGAGTCTTCTTTAGAACCAAATGAGGGCTAGTCAAAGGGGGCTAGTCACTGACCCAGAAAATTTCCCTTTGACTCAGGAGGCAGCTTTTTAGTTATGAAATCAGCTTCCCTCTTCTTTATGACGTTCAACGAAAGATAAAATATAAACTAACCAACCCAAAAGATTTAAAATACAATGGGGTGAAAGGAGTGAAAGGGAAAATGAAAAGAGGAAGGGGGGGAAAGGAAGGATCCCAGAAAGGACTTTTTTTTTTTATTTGATTTATATGCCCCCTTCTCCAGAGACTCAGGGCAGCTTACAATGCGTTAAGCAATAGCCTTCATACTTTTGTATATTTATACAAGGTCAGCTTATTGCCCCCACAACTGGGTCCTCAATTTACCTACCTTAGAAAGGATGGAAGGCTGAGTCAACCTGAGCCTGGCGAGATTCGAACCTGCAGTAATTGCAGGCAGCTAGTCTTAATAACCAGCTTAATAACAGGGTGACTTAGACCACTGTACTACCAAGACTTCACACTTTCTTCAGGTCAGAAACAAATAAACAGGGAGACTTAGGGCCACAATTGAGCCCAGAATTTATGTTTGTTAAGTGGGAAATTAGCTAAGTGAGTTTTGGCCCCGTTTTACGACCTTTCTTGCTACACTGTTAAGTCAATCACTGCAGTTGTTAAATTAGTAATATGGCTGTTAAGTGAATCTGGCTTCCCCATGGACAGAAGGTCGCAAAAGGGGATCCCATGACCCCAGGACAATGCTACCGTCATAAATAGGAAACGGTTGCCAAGCAACCGAATGTGAAATCACGTGACCAATGGGGATGGTGCAAAGGTCATAAGGGTGGGAAAAAATGGTCATAAGTCACTTTGTTAAGAGAGCTGACATGCTGCCAAGCCAAACAGGGGTCCCTGGCATATTTATCTCAACAGAAAATGATTCCCCACCCCCCACAACCAGTTTATCTCTAAAATAATAGATTTGCTGATATGTGATTGAAAAGGGAGGTTATCTTTGCAAGAAGGATGAACCTTCCCCTCAAAAGCTGTCCTCCCTGCAGCGTGTTTACTTGTCTTGCGAACAAGGAAGACTCCTGTGGCCGCCATTTGGAGAGGGTATCCACAGCAGATCCCCTCCCCCAAATTCAAATGGGCCCCTAGCCTCAAAAGGTTGCCTCTTCCTTTCCTCTGCCTTCCTTCTGATGCGGAGCGTTGCTTTTTCTGCCTTCCCAGTGCAAAAAGCTGATGAAGCCTGTTAAAAAGTCACTGAAGCTGCTGGACAAGCCAGGAAAAGGACTTACAGACCAAGAGCTGCTGGAGCAAACACGGAGTTGCCTACTAAACGTAGGCGACCACATCACGAATTGTTTGAAAGTCCACACTGAACCAGACGTTCATGACATATGGAGAAGGTGATTTGCCCACCCACCAAATCTCCAATCTTTCTCTCTCTCTCTCTCTTTCTCTTTCTCTCCCCCCCTCCCTCCCTCCGTCTCCCTCCCTCTCTCTCGCCCTCTCTCGTCTTGATGTTGCAGTCAGACCTGTGGGTTAGGAGCAGTGGTGAAATCTAAAATTTGTTACTACCGGTTCTTTGGGCGTGGCTTGTTGGTGGTTGGGGTAATGTGACTGGGTGGGTGTGGCCAATTTTTTTTAACTTTTAAAACCATTTTTTCTACAACCTTTTGGGGAAGAGGTTGTAAATAAATGCTTTCAAAAGGCTCTGACGATCCCAGCTGAGTTGCCTGATCGGCAGAGGCTTTTTTTCTTTTAAAAGCCTCTGACCATCAGGCAACTCAGCTCGGATCGTCAGAGGCATTTAAAAGAAAAAAAGCCTCTGATGATCAGGCAACTCAGCTCGGATCGTCAGAGGCATTTAAAAGAAAAAAGCCTCTGACGATCAGGCAACTCAGCTCGGATCGTCAGAGGCATTTAAAAGAAAAAAAGCCTCTGACGATCAGGCAACTCAGCTGGGATCATCAGAGGCTTTTAAAATCTTTTGAAGATCCCAGTTGAGCCACGCGATCATCAGAGGCTTTTTTTTTTACTTTTAAAAGCATTTTTTCAGTTGAAGAGGTTGTAGAAAAAATGCTTTTAAAAATTAAAAAAAAAGTCTCTGATGATTGTGTAGGTCACCTGGGCATGGGGTGGGGGCGGGCAGGGATTTTTGCTACCGGTTCTTCAAACCACCCGCTTCCATCGCTACCCGATCAGGCGATCCGGTCTGAACCAGAAGCATTTCACCCCTGGTCAGGAGTCTTTTTGAGTTTGGAGGTGTAGGGGAAGAAGAGGCAAAATCTGGGGATGGAGTTAAAAGAGGAATCAGCCTAGAATCTCTACATAGCCACAAGCAAACTAAGTCCAATTCCTGCTGAAATGCTACAAAGGAGATGCAGTCTCCAATTTTTGAATTGTGTTGAATTCCCCTATGTGGAAATATGTTAGAGTGTTAAAAAGAAAATCCACATTTTTGTCCAAACTCCTAGAAAACTACCATACAGGCATTCGCAGTAGTAAAGAGAGTAGCAGACTGGGTCCTGCCATGCTTAGAGCAAAATCTGCAGGCTTTATTTTAGGAGTCTTCATGACTTAAGTTTGAAGCAAGACATTTTTAGAAGCAGAGGGGGTGTCAGAGGGGATTTTGGGAGCCCAGAATAAAACATCTCTCCATCACTGCTTGTTTGGGGCATCTCTTTCCTCCAGCATGAAAAGTTTGGGCTATTGGCCCAGCTCATAAAAACAGAACATTAAAATACCTGTTCATCTTCTTTCAGGAATCTATGGATATTTGTTGCCAACTTTATCGAATTTAACACAACAAAATTACACAAATTATACAAGACGGCTAGCAAAAAGCGATCACGGGAACAAGAGGTAAGAACAGAGGGGTGTGGGTATGTTTGTGTACCTGAAGTAGAATGGAGAGGATACAAATATAAATAAAGAGAAGGAAGGACAGGGAACATCTTGTGCAAAAGAAAACCTCAGGAACTAGGGTCCCTGGGGAGCCAAAAGGGGCTGGCCTAGCAAACCTTGATGATGAAGACATCTTCGGTCACAAATGAAGAGTTGGAGCGGTGGAAAGCCTTAAAACTTTCACTTTTCTTTCTGTTTGTTTGTTTAATCCTTTTCTCCAGAAGAGGCTCTCCAATATTCTTCAGCAACCTCCCTCCTCCCCAGCCCCTGGTTTATGAGACCCAAGTCATTGTCACTGTTGGCCTTTTGAGTTTTCTGACCATGTTGTCTTTCTGCTCGGCAGGAACAGAAGAAGAAGGAGGAGATGAGTGGCAAGCGGCTTCGTCGAGAATCTCCTGGGCCCAGTCGAGATACTCCTGTCCCCCATAGCGCTCCTGCAGAAACTCTGCAGCACCCATCTCCCCACCCTACACAGATTCATAGACAGCAACGAGAAAAATACAACCAGCCGGACAGAAGGCATTTCAGCCACACAGGTGAGAGATTTTCAGGCCTGTCCCAATTTGCGCATTTAGGAGAGAAATTTTCCCTTTCTTCTCCTTGGTCATCTTTTTTAGTGTCCACAAACCGGTACCACTGGTTTTTAAGTCATAAAGTGGGGCAAAACCCACTCAAGAAATTCCTCACATAAATTTTGAGCTCGATTGTAGTCGTAAGTCAAGGAGTACCTGTACTCTCAGCTTATAACTATTCATTTAGCGACCATTGGAGGTTATAACAGCAACAGATCTGGTAATTTTCCCTTTCTTCTCCCTGGACATCCTTTTTAGTGTCCAATGTGGGTCAAATTAGTTGTTTCGGTAACAATTCCCAAAGTTTGATGCCTGTTTGGTGGGCATTCGCATTCCTTTCCCATGCCTGTGTCCTTGGATCATTCAACCGTTGTCTCTGGTTGGCACTTCTGCTTCCTCTCATCCCCCTTCCTATATCCCTCCATCTCCCCTCCCCATATTTTATGGCAGGCTGCCACCAAAGCGAAGCAGGGCTGAAGCGGTGTGATGGCAGATCTGACAAGAGATCTTCTTGAAAACCAGAGAAGCTCTTCCCTTCTTCCTGATGTCCCATCTAACTTCCTGAGATGGGGGAAGAGGGCAATGCCTGACCATCCTTGGTCCCCTTAGTGGAGCCACATGGGCTACATGGTTCTAGGGCCTCCCAGTTCAACTCTGGATGGGCAGTTCCTGCTATGGATACTTTGATTATTGTGTTATTGTTCCTCCTCCTCCTCCTTTTTCTTATTTTCTTAAAAAAGAGATGATAAAAATCGAATGAATCGTAGACAAAGGCAGAAGTACAGATAACAAAGTCCACGTGGATAAGATCCTTGGGCTTCTTGGGAAAGCTTCTTCCCCTTCCTTGTCATGCAGGGCGAAGCGAATGGCAGAGGAATCCCCAGTTTAATTACAGTTGGAATGCCTATACAAATTGGGGCAGAAACCGGTACCACCCATACGAGCAGCGCTGGCACAGGGATCAACGGTATCCAGATCATCAGGCACAAAGAGAACAATATCGAAGCTCAGGAAGCTACCAGCCGAGCAACGTCTCTCGTAAACGCCACTATGCCGACTACAACAGTGAGCGCAATTACCGCGCACACCCGGATTACAGGTGAGGTGCTAAGCAGGCTAGGCCATGGGCTTCTGCAGGAGTCAGCATGCCAAAAGCAGTGAATGGTGTTTGTTTATTTATTTATTTATTGGTTCGATTTATATGCCGCCCTTCTCCTGAGACTCAGGGCGGCTTACAATTCATTAAGCAATAGCCTTCATACTTTTGTATATACCTGCTTAGTAGGGCTTTCACCCCCCCCCCCAAAGTGGTATTCTTTTTTATACAAAGTCAGCTTATTGCCCCCACAATCCGGGTCCTCATTTGTTAGCCAGATCGTGGAACAGAAATTGCAGGGACTGCTAGAACTGTAGGGTTGGGTCTAATAACCAAACCTTGAAAGCCTGATCTCCCTGCCCTCTTACACCAACAACACCCAAGTGGGGTTATTTTGAGTCTCGTTGTGTATTATGAATGGTTGAGGGAGATAGCTATGTCTAGCCCGCGGTGTCTGCAACCCGCAGCTCCGGAGCTACATGTGGCTCTTTCGTCCCCCTGCTGTGGCTCCCTATCAGCTGAACCAACCACTGGCTGGCCCCACTCCTCGCTCTCCCCTTCCAGTCACTCCTCACCTGGCCTGAGAGAGATGAGAGAATGACAGAGAGAAAGAGGCAGAGACAGACAAAGAGATACACACAGATACCTGTTTCCCACAGAAAACACTGGGAGCCACAAAACCTGGCTGGGAGGGTGTCATGTGACTGGGTGGGTGTGAGTGACATTGAGTTGGCCACGCCCACCCAGGTTTTGTGGCTCCCGGTGTTTTCTTTTCTGTGGGAAACGGGTCCAAATGGCTCTTTGAGTGTTTAAGGTTGCAGACCCCTGGTCTAGCCTATGGATGAGAAGGAGGAGCTGCTTAAAAAAGAGATCCAATTTAGAAATAAGGTGAAATTATCTCTCTTTCTCCAGGACAGAGTTGCTGTTCATTTTTTCTTAACAATCTTGCATTCCTTCATCGGAGGTATCTCTGCACCCTTCAACCGCATTCTAGGTTTGCATTGTGAGCTTTGCCCCTTTTTGTAGGCGTATGTGATATCCTGATCCACAGTACAAATTGTGTAGGTTGGGCTCCAACTCTGCTGTTGCCCATCGTCTCTCTTTCCTCTAGTGTCTAGATACTGCTGAACTGGGATGACATTCCTGTTCTCTTCCATGCCTTTGGCACCAGAGGGAGTTAAGCATCCCAAGATCTAGATAGGGTCATTTTTGCCTCTTCTGTTGAGTTGAATGTTTTGAATTCTTCTTTCCTCTCCAGGTACTGTCATGAGGCTAAAAGGAGAAGATTAGATGAATTCCGGCCACAGAACTATCAACAAGATTATCGGAGGATGTCTGATTATAGACCTCCCTTGGGTTATGGGCAAGGACCATCTGCCTACTACAGGCCTTTCCACCCAGACAAATCAGCTGACTACAAGCAACTCCCTCCCCCTCCTCACTCTCAGCTCCCTGACCCTCGTCCTTCAACCTCTCAGAAATCTCCTCTTGGTGTCAAGTCTTCCATCCAGCATCGTTCACCTCTGATAGGCCCTTAGAGCAGAAGAACAATCCAGAGTATAAATGGGGTGGCCGGAAAACCTAGAGGCCCAGAAGTTGAGGCAAAGGGAAAGAGCTAGCCCGGTCCAAGGAACGCCAGTTACAGGGCCATCAATCCTGGGACCAGAAAGCCTCAATACAATGCTGTAGGCTGTGAAAATTTGAAGTAGGTCGGAATAATTGGATCCACCAAGAGGGCCTGAATTTTAGCCACAAATTTGGTGCATAAAGTCATGGTTTTCCGTTGTAAATATGTTTATAAAATATATATTAATTATTTTTCTATGGTTATGTATTTTGGATTGCTGTACATTAAAACTTGGAATTTTTCAGAAATTGGAATTTCTGTCTTTTTTACCCCCAAATAGTTGTCCCTGAGGTTATTTAACTTGACGGTTTTCTTCTTTTGAAAATATAGAAGACTTTCATTACTTCAGCTTAAAAGCCTGATTCTAGATAGTGAAGACAAAATCTTCCTCAGTCATTTCTTCTTATTCTTCACCTTTTTTCATATTCCTTGACATTTTCTGCATTTATTTTTTCTTTTTGCGTCTGACATCAAATTGATCTCTTCTTTGAAAAGTATCCCAGTACTTTGAAAAAGATTTCAATGCAGGAATTTGAAATTAGGCCAAAGGTTATATATGACTTAAGATATTTTCCCCATCACAAATCTATTCAAACTGAAAGCTGATGAAACATTTTAAAAAGATCTTCGTTTTTCTGATGTTGGTAATTATTTTGGCAACCAGGTGAGCTGGCTTTTACAGTGAGCTAGCCAATTCAACAAACACAACAAAAGTGATTTGGTTCATGCCATTTTTTTTCATCCTAAAGATTGTATCAACAGAAATTCAGGATTACGTTATTGGGAAGAAAAAGAAATTTATTTGCTTTTTTTAAAATCAATAAATAATTTACAATATTTACATCACAACACCCCATACAATTTCCACACACATGCAATAAGCTGGAAAGGGAGGCAGTGTGTTTGTTATACGCTTTCCCTGTCTTTATTCAGATTTTCATTCGGAGCCTCTTGGGTCTTCATAGGCTGAATTCACTCAGAAGCCAAAATTTGACTGAAGATAATAGAAAATAAAGTGCTTTGTTAATAATTAAAATTTAAGAAGCAATATCCCAAAGGTGGAAATGGTTTTAGAGCTCACCATAATCAGAGAAATAAGTTGAGGGGAATGAAAGATGACAATTGGTTAAGAAAAACCTCCCAATTTGTTACGTTTTACTGTTTTCAAGAATTTTGATTTATGAAATGCTAAAATAAAATGGCATTTTGACAGTGGCCAGTTAATTTTGATTAAAGTCCGCCTCCTCTTGTCGTGACTTCATTGGTTGGGGATTATGGCAGTTGTAGTTAGCATGGGTTGTGAGGTAAACTATGGGTTGTGAGGAAAATTTCATGTGAAGGGTGAGTTCTCACCTTCATTGCAAACACAGTGATAATTCAGGTTTCCCTTGCTGAACTGTATATAAATTCAGCCAAAGATTTCCATATATGGTTTATCCAGTTCCCAAAACGCTATTCAGGCTAAAACATTTTTTTAAAAATCGCACTGCATTTCTTCGGTCACAGCTTGGAAGAAGCCACAAGAGATAATGGGTAGAAATTTGGAAAAAAATCTCTTGGAAAAGCTGGGTGACGATTGTCTTAATAGATTGTGGTTCAGAATTGAATGGAAATGGGTGCCATAGGTTAATCCAAGCATGCGTGAATTATGAAGGCACGCTGATCTTCACTCTTCGCAGTCATTCATTCCTGGGATCTAACTACCATCTAGGATTTTTTTTCTCCAAGCCAACTTGCCTGAAATTCCATCTAAATAAGGTCAATGGTGATAAAACCAGGCGCTCTGTGGAGAGCATGCCCCCCTCACCCCTCAGTACCATCAGGCTCTCTAATGACATGAAAAGTATGGCGCCAACCTGGGACATCTATTGAATTAGTACCGAGTCAGATTTCCTATCTTTCTTCTCCGAATGTATTGGGATGTCCACCCTATGATCAAAAAGGCCACGGTAGAAATCACCTGTTTCCACAGAATGTCACCTGCGTTGTGGTTTCATTACAGATGCAACTATATAGTGATGTATGTAGTGTCAATACAATAGACAATACAGGAAGTATTGAAAAAAGTGATTTACGGCCGTTTTTCACACTTACAACCTTTGAAGCATCCCCATGATCATGGGATCAAAGTTCAGATGCTTGGCAACTGATTCATACTTAGGACCGTTGCGGTGTCCCAAAGTCATGTGATCATCTTTTGCGACCTTTTGACTAGCAAAGTCGATGGGGAAGCCAGGTTCACTTAACAACCAGGTTACTAACTTATCAACTAGAGTGATTCACTTAACAACTGTGGCAAGAAAGGTCATAGAATGGGGCAAACAAATGCCTCCCTTAGCAACAGAAATGTTGGGCTCCACTGTGGTTGTAGGTCGAGGACTACCTGTACTGTGGGATGAACCATGAACATGACTTGGTAGACATTCTGACCTACCATTTTAGCAAAATTTCAGCACGGTTTGTTCATGGTACTTTTGAGCTAAATGTGGGCAGAGAGAGACCTCCATCTTGACTTCCTAGGCATCTGAAAATGTGGGAAGAGAGCACCCTGTCTGCCCTACGACCCTCTCTAAGTGACCCCAATTCGGTTTTCTCAAAATGACACAAAACAATGGAGAAGACAATCATGCCCACTGATGAACCAATCATGAAGAGAAGTAATAAAAAGCATTTCTTTAAATATTTTAGGAAGGAAGCAGGGCAATCCCATCTCTTTGCTCACTTGGCAAAATGACCATCTGTAAGTTTTAGTATGTGTTCAACTTATTGCACACTCAAAAAAGATAAAATATGAGCTGGCAGATGATCAGACAGATGTTCATGCTTGAAGCATACAAAAACATGGCTTTGTGTATAGCTGGATGTCCTTCTGGTGTTGTGATGGTCAGATAGGGCTCACAACTTAGGAACAGACTGAGCTCACTCTCAAAGGTTTCTCTAAAACTTGCATGTTGTCAATATACACAGCAAACACACCCACACAATCTGTCCCCTTCCCAAGGAAGGGGATACACCCACCATGGTGTATTCAAAATAGAAAGGGATCAGGATAAATTTTAGGATGGGAGGCTTCTCATCTGGCACCTGGACCTAAACCCAAAATAATGTTTCAGAGTTTCCTTAGTTCAGGTGTTGTACAAGAAAAACATGGACCTAAAGAAGGTGCATCTTGTAAAACGGTATTTCCAGAATACTGAGGCAGACCTTCCATCTCCCCCTTCATTCCTCAAATAAAACAACAGCATTGTTTATGAGGCCTACCTATCTTCTGGGAAATGCACAGCCCAATTTTTTTTGCATAAATTGCTGATCAATTTGGAGTGAGCTTCCTGACGATAATTGATTTATGACTTATGAGCCATCACTTGTTGTTTGTATGTAATACGAGTTTATGCACTGGAGACAAATTCCTTGTGTGTTCAATCACACTTGGCCAATAAAGAATTCTGTTTTATAATACAAGGCCCGAATAGTACAGTAATGCCACCAACTCAGCAGGCAGCCTTCTCAGCAGGGCGACTGACCAGAACAACTCATCATATCCACTGCAGAAGCAGGAAGGGACAAGTCATTGGGGAAGAAGGTGCAACTGAGGTCTGAAAACCGACACCACTGAAAAAGATGTCCCAGCTCTCCTATGGATTGGCTTGGTTTGTTTTCCAAAATGAAAGACTTCAGGATGACGTCAACCAGAAGATTTGCACCTAGAGGTGGCACGGACTGGACTAATACTGGCCTAGTTCCCTAGCTTATTTTCCTAAGTACCAGAACAGGAGTGGACAACGAGTGTGAAAACAGGACAGGCGTTGTGGTTCTCGAACCACACCCAAGAGTTGGAAAGAAACACAATCTTCTCACATTGCCCATGAAATCAGGTCAACCCTCCCACTCTTCCCCAGTTCATTCTCCGCTGAAGCAAAAGGAAGCCATTTTCTATGAAGGAGACTAAGATGGAGTAAGCAAGGAAGGAAACGAGTTTGTAGGGGTGGTGTCTGCCCAGGGGAGGCAAAGGGACCATCAAAACCTTGCAGATTGGTTCGTAGGCGCCATTCCTCTGGACGTGGAGGGAAAGACCACTGATACACCCACCCCACCCAAGAGCAGCTGCCAGCAGCTGCCCAAGCCAAACTGGAGATAAGTGTGCACCAGCAGAGTCCCATGCACAAGGATGCAACCACGCGAACCCATTTTTCATGAGCAGGATGCAAAAACAGACACCCCTCCCCCCAAGGCCGTGGGACTCTGCCCATTTCTGGCCCACTTAGGGATTCTTTCAACAGTCTTCTGTCATCTCCAAGCCACTATATGCACAGTCCAGAAGCAACTGTTCCGATTTGCCTCTCCAAACACTATTATACAAATGCCATTGTCCGTGAAAAAAGGCATTCAAGAAAAGTGAGAAGGAAGATCTCTCCATCATGTGTAGCAACTGGAGGAAGGAGAAAGGTGTCTGACGTGGCCCTTGACAACCCTCCCACATGGAGGAAGCCTTTTTTGACAGGGAAGATGTTGACAGGAAGATCCATAGTCACATTTTCTAGACATGACCTGTGTCAACGCAATTCCCAGTTGCTTCCGTTTCACACCTGCCCCAAACTGTTAACAGTGCTCCTCAGTTTCCCAGCTCCACCAAATGTGTCTAGGCTAGTCTACAAGAAAAAGGATGGACTCTGATTCAAGCATAGGAATGCCAAGAGCGAAAGAAACAAAGCCATGGAAAGCTGGGAGGTGGCCCTATCGCCCGACTCCAAGTCTCGTGTCCTTTCAAAGAGGTGAAGCTTGTCTTTGTTGGAGTGGAGCATCTTGACGTCTTCAAAAGCATAGTAAGCAGCAAGGGTGAAGTTGACGTCACCGGTTGTCAAGAGGTCAAAGACACAGGACTGGAAGTACAAATCCTCAACCGGAAGCTTCTCTTTGCATTTGGCTGTGGCCGTTTCATAGGTGAAGACCTCAGGTGAAGAAGATGGGTTTGAGCTTTTCCGGTGAGGGCGGTTTTCAGTAGCCTTTGGGGTGGAAGGGAAGGCATGGAAGTCTAGCTGCTGGTTGAGTGGACAACCCCGGAGGCAAAGATAGAGGCCCTGGTTGTCTCCATCCTCCACAGCTTTCACGACCTCCTCTGGCATCCGGACGGCAAAAGTGAGGTAGCGACCGACTTGCCTCACTACGATGGTGGTGCCAATGTATTTGGCCTGGATCTCAATGTGTTGGCCAGAGACCTTCTCGGTGATCTTCAGACTGTTGGCACCATGCTTGTCCCCGCCATTCTTCGAGCCATCGGCAAAGGCTGCTGGGAGTTCATCCATCTCTGCCTGGTACACCTTTTGATCCACGCACTCCTGGAAGCTCTTGAAAATGATCGTGAGCTGGTGGGAATGAAAGACAAAAGGTTACTGACATTGGCAAGACGGTCTAGGTCTGTTCATAAGCCACCCACACTTGTTGTACCAGGCCTGAACGTTCCATTTCTCTCTTCTGCTAGTTGTCCTAACCTATTTTTAATCTTAGCTTAGGGATGTAATCAATGATTTTATGATGCCATTGAACTGGGGGAGGCCAAATGTTTCCATTTGTTTAGAAATGTCGGATACCTTTAAAGGGCAACCCCCTTTTCGTTTTGGAATCCCCCCAAAGTAGGGAAAATTGCCCTTATTCAAGTATTTCAGGGAGGCCTAAAGAGTGAAATGAGATTTCCGAGCGTCTGTTTGTCAACAAAGCATCCCTGGCCTGCTCTCGAGTTGCCATAGGCCAGGGGGGATGGGAAAGCGGCCAAACAGCAGCCAAAGACAGATGCACATTCCATGCTTATCTCTCTCAAGGCTGTATCCCAGGGTTACCTACAGTAGCTGGAGGAGTATAACCCAGGAAATTGCTCTGTTGGCAAATGTGATTGATGACGCACCCTGGGGGGAGGGGGGAAACAGGGTCATGATTGGGGCATAAATTACATAGGGTCAGAGATGGCTTCACTTGGGAACGTGCTAACATGAAACTCCTAATAAATAACTGGATTTCTTTTGAAGCTTGGCGATGCTCATGATTTAATTAGGGCATCTGTCCGAACCCTGAGAGGGTTCTTAAATGCCCCAATCAAGCACGTGTTGGACTTTCTTGGACCACAGAAGGATGATGTGGAGGCCTCCAGAACAAGCCAACTCAATTTTGACAAGGTCAAGCAAAGCAAGCTTTTCCAAAACGTCCACAAGAGGTCAGATTCTCCAAGCCATGCTCTGATATGGGGACATTCCTACCTTGGTGGTGGCCGTTGCCAGGGAGCCAGGCAAGACAGGAGTGTTGGTGACTTGCACATTCAGGTAGTTGTTGTCAATGAGCGGCCAGGCCCCTTGGATTTTGCATGTCTGGAAGCTGTCCGAAAACGTCCGCAGGTGGGGGTCTCCAAACAGCCCACAGTGGGTGTAGTTGGGGCGCAAGGAGTGTTTGTGGAAGCTACGTTCATAATGGCAGCTCTCGGGGCTGTCTGAGCGCTCCTGGCTGTCGCCCCGGGGCAGCGGGGGGAGGCGAGGCTGGGAGGTGGGCCCATCTTTGGAGCAGTTGTGTTGGGTCATGAGATCATCGATGCCATGGACTGCAGAGTGGTAGAAAAGGTCTCCCCGGCAGGTGCGAGCTGTGTGGTGGGTGCAGAGGGCATAGGCGCGCAAGGCAGTGCAGAACTCAGGAGCATCCTCAGCGGCCGGGGGCTGCGTCCCCGAGGTTGCGGCCAAAAATTCAGAGTTGCACTTCATGATCTTGCATGGAGACATGGCTAAGAGAAAGAGAGAGAAGAACACACCTGTTGGAAATGTCCAGTGAGGCTTTCTAATCTACCTATACAGGTAGCCATCAACTTACAGCAGTTCCAATAAAGGAGAATATTTGCAGCTCAGGGTTGAAGTGAGAGGTCATTGATTGGTCTCCGAACTTGGTTGTTTTCTTGCAGATGTTTCATTGCCCTAACTAGGTAACATCATCAGTGCTACATTACCTAGTGTGGGTAATGAAACATCTGCAAGAAAACAAGCAAGCTCAGACAGCACCAAGGACCCCATAGTCATCGCATAACATAGTCATCATCGTTCTCCTCCTCATCTCTGCACACCCAGTGATGAGATTCAGCCGGTTCTGTCCGGTTCGGGCGAACCAGTAGTGACGACTGCGGGAGGCTCTGCCCACCTGCACGGATGTGATGTGCGAGCACTGCGCATGCATGGAAGGTCACGCGCATGCGCAAAGGAGGTGTGTGAGTGCGAGCGAAGTGAGCTCACATTTGCAAACCGGTAGGGAAGGTAAGTGAATCCCACCTCTGTAGCACACCCCACTCCCTTCTAGCACTGATGATGTTACCTAGTGTGGATAATGAAACATCTGTAAGAAAACAAGCAAGCTCAGGGAGCACCAAGGGCCCAATGGTCCTCTTCCTCTCTGCACACCCCACTCCCTTCTAGCACTGATGATGTGCTGGGTAATGAAACATCTGCAGGATAACAAGCAAGCTCAGGGAGCACCAAGGACCCCATAGTCCTTCTCTTCCTCCTCTTCTCTGCATACCCCACTCCCTTCTAGCACTGATGATGTTATCTAGTTTGGGTAAAGAAACATCTGCAAGAAAACAAGCTCAGAGAGCACCAAGGGCCCCTCATTACAACAGTTCGTTGAGTGACCATTGAAAGTTCCAACGGCACAGAAAAAAAAGTGACTTATGACCATTTTTCACACTTAGGACCGTTGCAGCATCCCGACAGTCACATGATTTACATTCAGATGCTTGGAAACTGATTCATATTTATGACTGTTTGCGGCCTCCTGGGGTCACGTGACAAGCAAGGCCATTGGGGAAACCAGATTCACTTAACGGCCGTGTTACTAATTGAACAACTGCAGGGATTCCCTTAACTGTCTCGCTTAGCCACCAAAAATTTTGGGTTCCATTGTGGTCATACGTTGAGGACTACCTGAATGTATTGAGTTCCTGCAAAGCTCCGAGCACCAAACAAATCATTTTTCTTGTTTAAAGATAAAGGTTCCCCTTGCACGTATGTGCTAGTCTTTCCTGACTCTAGGGGGCGGTGCTCATCTCCATTTCAAAGCTGAAGAGCCAGAACTGTCTGAAGCCGTCTCCGTGGTCATGTGGCCTCCATGACTCAACGTTGAAAGCACAAGGAACGCTGTTACCTTCCTACCAAAGGTGGTCCCTATTTTTCTGCTTGCATTTTTTACGTGCTTTCAAACTGCTAGGTTGGCAGAAACACGTGATTAAACATGTGCAATTGCAGCCCTGCATTCTAGACCAGGCTCTAAGAGGAAAAATGGAAAGTCCCTAAAATTGTTGAGAATATATGGAACTGAAACCATAAACTAACAAAATCAGCAGCATATAAAGAAAACGCATACAAAATGTTCTACAGGTAGCACTTACCCACTTCGAGATTAGCAAAAATATACCCTAAAATGAGCCCCATATGCTGGAAATGTAAAAAGAAAGAGGGAACATACTACCATATGTGGTGGTCCTGCCCTGAGGCTCGAAAATATTGGCTTAAAATTAAAGACTGGCTACAGGAAATTACTAACGAACAATTAAATTTAGAACTGGAACTCTTTCTATTGGGGATCTTCAAAAAAAATATATATATGTGTGAAGAACACAAAATATCTAGTACTAACGTATTAACCGCTGCCAGGATTGCCTTCGCTCAATGTTGGAAACAGCCATGCACACCCGCAGAGAAACTTGTCATATAAAAGGTCATGAATTGCGCAGAAATGGACAAATTAACACTGAGTTTAAAAGATAAGAGGCATCGATATTTTACACTCTGTAGGAACAGTGGTATAACTGGATAGAACGGAGATAGATTAAAGATAGATAGTTATTAAGTATAAGTAATAGATAAAATAAGAATGTAAATACGCACAATTTAATTTTTGTAAATAACGCACGAATTACTGTTACAAGAAAAACACCACAAATAGCTGTTGTTGAGTGATATAATTTTTTATATTTTTAATGTAATAAAAGTTTAATAAAGTGTTTATAAAAAAAAAAGGTTGAGTTTGCAAGGGAATGCTGAGAAAGGCATTATCTTAAAATTCCTGATTCGGCTCTTTCTTTCTTTAGAGCTAATGAGCTTGCAGGTTTGATAAAAAAATAAAATAAAAATAAAACCACGTTCGAACAGAGGCAGGGGAGGTGGTAGGGAAAAATTGGGAAGAGGCTGGGAGAGACTGCACACGGCCCATAGGGGGAGGTGTCGCTCTACAGATTTTACGGATTTCCACTGAAGGAATGAATGTATAATATGCTTTGCCGCTTCACTCATCTCTCCATAAAAGGCCAAATTTCCAAAGGCAGGTGTCACACATAAACTCAGCAAGCCTACAAGAGGGAGTATGCCTCAGTTCTATGTGAGCGGGAAAGAGATCAAAAACAGAACGACAACCAACTCCTTTTCTCACTGTTGCAGACAATGAAATCCTTGGGAGCCCAGGTTGCATCGGACTCAACGACGTCCGTCTTCCTGGTTTTTCTGATCTGCTACGTGTGCAATTGTGTTGGGTTTACTACAAGTCTCAGGATCCCCGGATAGGAAAATCTGGCGTGGTCTTTTTTTTTTTTTTTAATTTGATTTATATGCCACCCTTCTCCGGAGACTCAGGGCAGCTTACAATGCGTTAAGCAATAGCCTTCATACTTTTGTATATTTATACAAAGTCAGCTTATTGCCCCCACAAACTGGGTCCTCATTTTATCTACCTTTGAAAGGATGGAAGGCTGAGTCAACCTTGAGCCTGGTGAGATTCGAACCTGCAGAAATTGCAGGCAGCTGTGTTAATAACAGGGTGCATTAAACCACTGTACTACCAAGGCTGTAGCAGAACATACCTAGAAACCTTTTCATGTTGCCACAAAAGATGATTCTTGGAAGCCAAGAAGTTTTTTCTATTGTTTTCCTGCAATAACTAATCATCAGGGATTGCGTTATTCTTTAATGAGCTTAATGATAGCAATAGCACTTAAACTTGTATACCGCTTCATAGTGCTTTTACAGCCCCTCTCTAAGCGGTTTACAGAGTCAACCTATTGCCCCCAACAATCTGGGTCCTCATTTTACCCACCTCGGAAGGATGGAAGGCTGAGTCAACCTTGAGCCTGGTGAGATTCGAACTGTCAAATCCTCTTCTGTCTGCACCGGCTGGTCTTCTGCTAAAGCTACCCAACTGAACGGAATAACAGAGTTGGAAGGGACTTTGGAGGTCTTCTAATCCAACCCCCTGTTCAAGCAGGACATCCTATACCATTTCAGACAAATGCTTGTCCAGTCTCTTCTTAAAAACCTCCAATGTTGGAGCACCCACAATTTCTGGAGGCAAGGCGTTCCACCGGTTAATTGTTCTAACTGTCAGGAAATTTCTCTTTAGTTCTAGGTTGGTTCTCTCCTTGATTACTTCCCATTCATTGCTTCCTTTCTTGCCTTTCTGGTGCTTTGGAAAATAGGTTGACCCAGTGGTGAAATCCATTTTTTTTTTTACTACCGGTTCTGTGGTGTGGCCTGGTGGGCGTGGTGTGGCCTAGTGGGAGTGGCAGGGGAAGGATGCTGCAAAATCTCCATTCTCACCTCACTCCAGGGGAAGGATACTGCAAAATCCCCATTCCCTCCCCACTCCAGAGGAAGGATTCTGCAAAATCCCCATTCCCTCCCCACTCCTGGGGGAAGGATACTGCAAAATCTCCATTCCCTCCACACTCCTGGGGGAAGGATACTGCAAAATCTCCATTCCCACCCCACTCCAGGGGAAAGATACTTCAAAATCCCCATTCCCTCCCCATTCCGGGGGGAAGGATACTGCAAAATCTCCATTCCCACCCCACTCCAGAGGAAGGATACTTCAAAATCTCCATTCCCTCCCCACTCCTAGGGGAAGGATATTGAAAAATCTCCATTCCCACCCTGTTCTGCAGCCAGCCAAAGGTGGTATTTTCCGGTTCCCCGAAGTACTCAAAATTTCTGCTACCGGTTCTCCAGAACCTGTCAGAACCTGCTGGATTTCACCCCTGGATTGATCCCCTTCTTCCTTGAAGCAGTCCCTTAGATATTGGTACACTGCTATCATGGCACCCCTAGTCCTTCTTTTCATTAAACTAGACGCATGTTTTAGTTTCCAGTCCCCTAATCATCTTTGTTGCTTTTCTCTGCACTCTTTCTAGAGGCTCAACATTTTTTATATATATCGTGTTGACCAAAACTGGATGCAATATTCACTTCTTAGATTCCAGGGAACACCATCTGCTGATCAACCAAATAATCAAACCATTTTATATGCTGGAAATTTATTCTCTTGAACCCCACCCCTCTAAAGGTTTCGGCTAGGCTGGCTCAAAGGAATGAAACACGTATGTCTTTAATTCACAGTCATGGAACCGAATACAGCTTCTATTCCTATTTATAGCTTGTATTCATATTTATAGGTGGCTCAGTGGCTAAGACACTGAGCTTGTCGATCAGAAAGGTCGGCAGTTCGAATCCCTAGTACAGGTCTCCTGCGTGAGTTGGGGGGGGCTGGACTAGATGACCTCCAAGGTCCCTTCCAGCTCTGTTACTGTTACTGAATGCAGCTGGTTTCACACAACATGTTTAACCAGGCCAGTTACAAACCAAGCAGTTCCATTTGTATCCACCCCCTGCTAAACTGGGTTTTCAGCTTTGGGTTTTTTTTGGGAGGTGGGGTGGGGTGAATCCATCCCACTCCATTTCTGACTCAAAGGGT